ACTTGCCAGACTATGCAAAATTTGCTTATGTTCTTGACTAAATACACGCACACACCCGTAGTGCGGTTGCAGTAGTAGTTCGTCCAAGGGTTAATATTTTTTTTGTTGAAGTAAAGCTACCAGGGCGTGGAATGGCTAAGTGTTAGGGCATGTCAAACGACGACTTCTTGAGAGAGTAGAATCATTACAGCAGCAAACGGAAGTTGTTAGAATAGGCCTTTTGAAACAGTTAGTCACGTATTACTAACCGATAATTTGTAAACTTTAAAGGAGAAGGCCACTCCAAGAAACGTATTTTTTTTTGGCAACGCGAATAAAAACCTTGCACTAAGTTTGGCCACTCACCGAAGTTTCAGCCTCTAAAGTGCAGGTTTTCTTTATGAAATTCATCTACAAAGAAGCCCAAAATTCGACATCGTTACCGTCATTTTGAACAGTAGCCACGTTTTCGTGACGTCATTTTGTCCAAATGGTTTCCAGGAAACCTTTTAACTACCACTCTTAAGGGCTTATGGGTTATGGCTTCTCTTGAGCCATATTATTTTGAGCCAAACATGCTCCAAACTCCAAAATGTTAGCATTGAAGATAGTGAAGTGCATAATCGCTTGGAAAAAATAGATTTTGCTGACCTTGTGAAGGATGCAAAGTCAGTTGCAAGTTTGTCTCCTTCCCGCCATTTTCGAGTCGGACGGAATGGCGTCACATAAACACTGCCTGCCAAGACAGTTTCACAATGGCGGCTTCCGAAGTCGCTTCTTTCGAGACGAACTTCTGCAGGATAGCGGGCACTTCAGAGCCTTAAACTTGGGTGAGTGGAGATGCTGAATGTGTACTTGCTATAGGCAAGAGTTTTTTTGGAGTGACCTTCTCCTTTAAGCTATCAATGTGCATCTAAAACTACGATTTCAGAACTGGAAAGGGCATGTTTTAAATAGCCAGAACACTAACACTTTTCAGACCAATGCCGCATACACGATGAAGAATTAATGACGATTTGAATATTGCCAAAAAATAAGGTTTAGTATAAAAGCTAGGAAGCTTTGCCCTCCAGAAACCTTCTCCGTTATTTAAAAAACCACTACAAAAGGAAACTGCTGCCATATAACTGTTAGAGATAGAAAGAGGGATGAAATATTAGGAAGACTGAAAAATTCTAGGTTCTTTAACCAAAAGGCAAAGATCGATTTTATGTCAGCTTGAAAACCTGAAAAATTGCACCACTGGAGCGTGACTGGAGGGCAAAGCATATTTTCCTCATACAAATCCTTCTAATTTGTAACCTCTATACAAATTCCCTCTTAAAAAAAATATTAACCTGAAATTTGCATGTAAGCTTATTTGTAAATGTTCTTCCATTTCTGATAACACCATTCATTACCAATGACTAAATCAGTGTGTTCTTGAAATGCACGTCACGTGAACAACTGTTCAAAAGACCTATTTAACTGCACTTGGTAGATCTCACGGCTCAATCACGTTGGTATCAAG